GCGACGTGGACGCGGAGAACAAGCAGAGGCCACTCACAACGCCCGATCGCGACGCGGCTGGCAGTTGTCTTCAGGGCAGGTCCGTCCGCGGCACCGCCACGCCGTTTCTCTGCACTCACATGACCCGGATTCAAGGGGCGTTAGAACGGCCAGGTGCCTGTTCTCCGCCGTGTCCTCCTCCGTGTATGTAAGTCCTCCGCCACGGCACGCATCGTGGTGCGAAGAAGAAAGACGCTATGCCATCGCACAATCACCACTCAGTCGTAGAGGCGCACCGGAGGACAATCACTCCGACCCATCCAGCCGTCAATCTGCGGACATACGCAGTAACTCCACTGTACAAACTGTTATACAAGACATGGTCGTGAGTAAGGTACACATTCCTCTACAGAACATTCCCGTCGTATTCCTCGTTCGCTCATAGCGTGTAGCGGTACCCGCTCCACTCGTCGCCCTTGTCGCGCTTCGCGTCCGCGATGCTCGCGTACGTCCCGTTCCGCGCGAGCTCTGTCCGGTGCTCGTTCACGCCCTTGATGATCTCGTCCCGCTCGCCCCGGTCCCGCCGCGCGTTCTCGCGCTTGAGGTAGACAAAGTAGATGACGGACATGACGAGCCCGATGCAGATGTACATCAGCACGATGCCGTGCCCGAGGCTGTACCACGGTGCGTCTCGTGCGCGGTACTGCATGCGACGGCGACAGGTTTGTTAGTACCGAGCTGGGTACGCGCGGAGGAGCGGAAAGGTACGCACGACGTTTGAGGACACGGCGCCGTTGATGTTTCCGAAGCTGATCACCATCGCGATCGACACGCTGCGCTTGTACGAGCCCTCCACGTTGTTCGACACCCACGCGACGAGGTTGGGAATCGTAGGGTAGATGCCGCATGCTGCCAGGTAAACGGCAACATACGACAGGGCTGCGTTCCTGGAAAGAATGAGGATGATGTATCCAGCCATCCCGACCGAGAGGCAGATCCTGAGGATACGGTCAGTCCCGGCGTAGTCGGTGTGATATCGATGAGGACGTACATGGTGAGGTAGCCGCGGCAGCCGTGCCTGTCCGCAACAAAGCCGACGATGCAGGTCACGATGCAGGCCAGCACATAAACAGGGACAGTGAGCAGGTTTGCGGGCGTAGCGGTGTATCCTGCGTCATGTCAATAGGTGCGCACAGGTTACAGAAGTCGCATACATACCGAGCTGGTTGATGATGCTAGGCAAGAACAGCGAGAACGCGTACAAAGGCGCGTCTGCACCAGTGTACAGGAGCACTGTCGCACGCAGGTCAGTAGTCACACCGCATGCAGTTCGATCAGGCGAAACTCGACTCACTCCCAATCCAGGTCTTCCAGTCGAGCAGGCTGCGCCAGATGTAGTGCCACCGGAGGCTCTCGCCCGCTGCGCTGAACTGGTCATCGGACTGAAGCCGGCGCACAACTACGGTGCGCTCCTCCTCGCTCAGGAACTTGGCGGTGTCGGGGAAGTCCTGGATGATCCAGAACGACATCACGCCCGCCACGACGGTGACAAGGCCCTCGAGGATGAAGATCCACGCCCAAGCCGGCTTCCCGCCAATGCCATCCATCTTCGATATTGCCGCCTGTTCGTGCGTTCGACCGCACAGTTGAATGGGCCGGACATAGATGGGACATCACATCACGCATATGCAAAAAGATCGCTTGGTCAATGTCGGCCCCGACAACGGCGAAACTGTGGAAGAACACGTACCGCGAGCAGCCCGCCGAATGCGCCAGACACCGTCGCGGCCGAGAAGAAGATCGCGGCACGGATGCCAAACTCGGAGCGCTTGTACCAGCTGCATGGGAAGCCCGTCTATCATTAGCCCGCGAACGGGTCGCGGAGATGCGCGAAGCACGCACCAGGAGAGATAGTAGTTCACGCCTGGGAATAGGCCTGCTTCAAACACGCCGAGCATCCAGCGCATGCCTGGGTTGGAGAGGGGAGGTCAGCCTCGGTCTGCGATCGGAAACACCCTTGCGCGAGAGGAGACGAACCGAGGAGCCCGCTGTAGTTGTGCACCAAGCCTTGCACAGTCTACAGTGGAGCATGTGAGCACGGCCGGCCAGCGGAAGTAGGGCGGATGCACTTGACGCACCATCATGATGCCCCAAAGGAACATGAGGAGCGAAAGCCACACGGAGGGGCGCAACCGCTTGAGGAAGACATTGGAGGGCACCTGCGAACCCGTCAGCGCAAGAGATGTCGAGGAGAGGGGGCTCGAGCTCACCTCGAATATTGAGTAGGAGAAGAAGAAGATGGTCAGTGCAAGTAGGTATTGCTGGTCCGTGAGGTGCAGGTCGGTCGTCATATGATACAGCTGAGATGCCCCGTCAGCGCCATCGCTCACGCACACGCCAAGGAGACCGTCGAGAGCAACGCGCTCACCTTGGCGTTGCCTATGCTCGTCCTGTCTAGGAAACTGAGCAGGTACAGGAAGGACAGCCACGGGATGAGGTAGAAGTCGATCTTGCGCATCAGCTTGCGTTCGTCCACGCCGCTGACGTCGATGTGCGCGTTGTAGAGCGGCGTCTCGAGCTGCCCGGGGGCGTCGACACGCTCGATCTCGGACGTGCGGCCCTTCTCGTCGCTCGAGTATGTCGAGGCGGGGGGCGAGGGCGCTGCGCGGGATCCGGCGGTGGCTTGCGCCTTCTCTACGTCGGTTGAGGCCATGCTGGGAGGAGAAGCGTCGGGGACGACAGCAGGGGACAGGCGGGCGTCGAGGCGGGACTGAATGGAGAAGACGACACCAGAGTCGCTCACGGTTCTGTGCGAGTGCGTCTGACTTTATGTCTGCTGCGACGTGCCGGATAAGCAGCGTTGCCGGGCCACCAAGGAGCGCAGAGGCCGCGCGCTGGTCATTGCTGGTCATGGGTTCCTCCATTTTCGTCGGCTGGAATGATTCCCATCAGTCCAACCGCCCGAAGTTTGCCAGGCACGCCCATCTCCCCCGCACGCGCGGCCCGCCTGCGCCACCGCTTGTTGTGCCCGCCCCCGCGAGGAGAGAGAGGATGGGGGTGTCCGACGCGTGCTGACAGGCGCAGGCGACGTCTGTTCGCGCCCGACGTCGTCGCTGTCTGCGCTTGTCGGCGGCCTTCTGCGGCACGACATGCTCGCACACGTCTGGTGCGTCGAGCGAATGCGGGGTAAAGTACGCGTTGCGCCAGGCGCCGACCAACGGACGCTCCCCTATTGCCAAACATCGATGTCGATCGGTTTGTGTCCGTTCGGCGTTCTCGACTGTTCTCATCACCAAAAGTCATATTACCCCGCGGGGTGACCACCGCAAGAAAGCTCTTGCGCCCGGGGCATCAGCGGGGTAACGCCTATAGGCAAGTGTACATTGACGAAATCACCGCCGGCATCCATCCGGGACTCACTCCAGGTTGCGCGGCTGAGCCCGGTGAGGTACGCACCTTCCACGACGACTCCTTCTTGTTTTCTCTCATGCTTCACAGCCCCTGTACAGCGGGGCGAACAGCCCGAGTGTTGTATGTCAAGTCATGGAGCTCGACAATCTCACTCTACCTGACACGACGTCTTGGCGCATGTCTCTTCCGCGGTGCGGTCTGTCAACGTCTGATCTACCACAACACGTTTACATCGAGTGCATCCCGGTATGTCGGACCGGTGTGTCCGGGATCTACGCACGCCGCTTGTACTCTCGTGTCCTGCCCCTGCCCCTTCCCAGAATTTAGGTGCATGCCATCGGGTCGTCAATGTCGTTATTCCGCGGTTCATTGCGCCTTCGCATCGGCCTTCTTCGCCCCCAATCTCTGTCTATCCCACTTCTCTCTCCACAGCAGCCACTGTGCCTCGGTCCCGCTGTCTGCCCACACCGACCATCCATCCCTCAGTCTGAACCAGGTGGACAACGGGTTCGTGAGCACCGCTGTGCGGAACTTCCCCAGCAGTGACTGCGGTCTGCGGGTTGGAATGTACTCCACGAGCAGGTAGTAGGTTGTGCCAAATACGACGCCTATGCCGAACCCCCATACGACTTGATGGGGCGCATGATACGCGAGGTAGTATCTGCGACGCAATGATCCCGTCAGTACGGCAAAGGGAACAGATTCAGTGACCGTACCTCGAGAATGCTACTGAGGCCGACCATGCGAGAATGAACGTGTACAGGAAGATGTCCCGTGCATAGTCGAGAATGAGGTACCCGGTGGGCACGAACCGATGTCGGAGGGAAAAGTGCAGAACGAGGAAGCTGGCGAAGTACCCCATCCACTGGCTATGGGACGAGGGGAAGCCGTACCCATCGCCCAGCTCCTCTGCAAATTCAAAGGTGCAAATGAGCAGACAGATGTGTTTCACTTCGGACAGTACTCACGGTTCGGCCGCTCTTCTTGAATGATGTGCTTCAGTACGTAGTTGAAGCATTCGCATAGCATCTGCCCTGCCCACATCTCCACAAACAACAGCTCACGGGTCCATACTGAGAGGGCCGCATAGGCAGGCTTTGTACATGATGCGTCAGCACGATAGAGGTGTACCAGGGGAAGGTGCCCAACGCTCACGTTAAGCAAGATAGGTGTCAAAGTCAGCAGAGCTAGCACATGTGCGAGTAGTGAGGTGTCATTGTCTGGTTATCCGCACTGTGATTTCAGATGATGGGTACTAAGAAAGGCCTATCAGGAGAGTTTACTGACATACAACATATGTCAGGTCCAGAGCTGCTCGTGATACCACAGCTGGTTCTTCCGGTGCCATCCCTATTCCGCCGCCGTGACGATGGATCGCTGCATGCACCTGTGATACACAGAAGATGTAGCCAATGGCGGGAGGTAGACTATTGATTCCCGAGTGCGCAGAAATGAGTGTGTACAAGAGTGACTGGTCAATCCGCGGATGTTGCGTGCAAGAGTATACGTGTAGAGCGTGGACGATGGACCGCGGTGACGTTGGCTAGCTTCCTATCGTTGCTGATGATAATCACAAGGCAGAGGATCACAAGGCAGAGTTCACATGCCAAGGCACTATAGCCAAGTGGTTAAGGCGACAGATTAGAATTCGCTAGATATCTGTTTCTCTTTGAGAGCGCAGGTTCGAACCCTGCTGGTGTCGTGATCATTTTACAAATCAAGGGTGCCTCCTTTTTTGAGCACCAAAGTGCCGGTGCTATTTCTACCACGACACTTTCGGAGGCTGAAGCCACTACGATTATTTTAGAGTGTGGAACTTGCAGTCCAAGGTCTGCGGGCTGTGAGCGGGCCATTGGCAGAGCCAATGCCAACAGCGGCCAAGTGGTTCCGTGCTCAAACCGTTTCGTGCAGCATTTCTTTTGTTGTAGTACTACATACAATGAATCGCCTGCGTTTATTCCATATCGTATCCGCTCGTGCGGTCCTTACTTGCGCGACACCGTCGCAGTGATTAAGCCGCTGTAATGAATGCGCGTTAGAACGTACGAGGTTGGGCCACCTCGGCAGAGGCGTACCTCGGCGCGTCCAACGGGAGGTGCACCTCGGCGTTCGGGCTACAGTGCATGAACAGGTGAGATAGACATGGCGAGGTGGGAGAAACGAGGCGGCACTCACGGAGACGTGTTGTCGAGGCCGATGTACTTCATGTCGATGGGGACGTAGTGCTTGTTCGGCAGCTTGTACGTCACGCTCTGGATGTGCGGGTTCTCCCTTACGATGCGCTGGCCCATCTTGTAGAGCGTAGCCTGAAACCCCGGAGTCGGAGACGAACATCGCACGGTGAAGAAAACAGCATCCAAACCTGCACGCTCGCGCTCTCGTCGAGCGCAAACCCCTCAAGCGTCACGTTGCGCGTCGCAGCGGAGATGCTGTCGCCATCCCACGGCGTGCCCTTCGCCTGTTCCGCAGTGAGCCCGAGGTCGAACACCTTGCCCTCCCCGTCCGCCGGGCTCGGGATGCTGATGGGCGCGAACGTGTACGCAAGGTCGACCGAGGTGCTGAAGATGCGGTCGTTGACCTCGGCGAGCGTCGTGAACTCGTCCCGGACGAAGGACTCGAACCCTGACCCGCTCGTCTTGAGCACGAGCAGGTCCTTCAGGCCCGCCGTCACGCGCGCAACGATCTTATCCTTGCCCGCGGATGCATCGATCTCCGCGTGGACAGTCCTCTTATCGTCGCCGTCGCGGAAGAACGAATGTGGGTGCGGCTTTGGGGTCTGGCCCTCGCCCTGCGCGATTGCGATGCGCGTCCAGCGGGGCTTCTCGATGGTAATGAACGCTTTCTTGAGGTGAGCGTACTTGGAGACGAGAAGCGTGCCGATGTGTAGGGCGAACCTCTCGGGGTGGAGGACGTGAGGTGAGGTCTTTGCCAGGTCTGGCGTCTCGACGTAAGCGCACTAGCTGGGAGGGATCTGGCATGGCAGTCTACGCACAGTTCACGATGTTTTTTACTGCAGATCAGAGGTGATTAGTCCATGGACGAGCTTAGCAACATACAGACGCGACAGGCTCACTGGAATCTGTCGCAACGACCACGGAGTTATCCGCATTGGTGTAACTGATCTCAATGTCGCCCTCGACGAGCGCAGTAATGTTGTACTCGACGACCTCGTGCCATGTGCCATTGCGCACAACACGCAGCACGCGAACCTTGTCCTTGCCGTATCGGGCGTGAGAGAGATAAGAGAGACCTTCGCCTTGCTGAGACATTCTGAGGCGAATCGCTGGATGACTCGTGAAGGGATGGGTGGGGAGGCTGCGGTTAGCTCGTCCGTGCAGCGTGAGGGGGTTTTTTATAGATAGTTGAGAATGAGGGCGGTAACTGTGCGGTTAGCGGTATCGATCCATGAGTCGAGAACCCATCTCGGCCACAAGGGGCTTATCTCGTCATACAGAAGCCACAGTCACGGAGGCATACCGTACAACGGGACTGAGGTAATAGCGCAAGACGGAGGGCGCGTTTTACGCATGCATTGGGACAGTTTGTCAGAGGCTCAGCTGCCTGTCAGATGGCCTCCAAAGACGTGAACTTGAAACCTGGAAAAACGGAGATTAACGCTCGCGGCGTGGAATACCTGAAGATACCCGTCCCTGCTGTTCCCTTTGCATTGCAAGCTGTACAGAGCACGGGCGCATCTGCTAGCACATCGGAGCAGTTGGGCTTGCCATAGACATCACTATGTACCCGGTGTCAAACAAAGTCGTACAGCCTTGCGTGCAGTCCCTATGCAGGTGAGCAAAGGTTCAATATGTCCTTGGTAGTAGACATTTTGTGACGTACCATCTACCGAGCGATTATTGACCACTGGGTAGGCATTGCTCGCGCTAACAAGCCTTGACAATTAGTTACCTTCCATATCAAGGAAACTGGTGCGAGAGTTCAACGTTCACTTATATGTATCGCCAGTCTTGACATGAAGAAGTGGGCGCAATGATTCGGAACTCTTCAATCCGGTGAGTGCGGATGAGGCCACGATGTTCTGATGGTTCTGCAAGGTTCTCTCCCAATGGTTGTTGGCACTGTCGCTACGCGAGCCGTGATCGTTGGACGACCGGTGTTCATGGGCAGTGTTAAGTAAAGACAACGAAAACGCATCGGCTGAAGACGGCCGAACGCTGGACATTTGGCGAGTACCAGCCTCTGGAATTGCGACTCGTCTAGCACCTCCTCCAACGCCCTATCGTGAGCGTCGTGCTCGGCCGTGCAGCAAATGCGAGTATCATATGCTGTGGATTTACTCGACGATGCCGAGCGTATGTCGAGCACCTAGTACAAGGTTGTCAATGAGCCTGGTCTTGCGGACCCACAGCGCCCCGCTCAGGATCACCGGGTTATCCGGGACATGGGCCTCCCACTCCTTGCGCGAGACGCTCGCCGGGAGGACCTCGAAGGACTCCGGGTCGTTCATCTCGATGTAGTCCAACCGCAGGTCGGTCGCGTCCCCGACCTCGCGCTTCTTGTTCTGGATCACGGCTTGCGCTCGCTGGATGCATCCAGCCTTGGACGCGCCGGACTCCCAGGCGGACTTGGCTGACTGCAGCGCCGCGTAGAGCACCGGCGCGACTTCTTCTCGCTCTTGCGCGGTGAGGTAGGCGTTTCGCGAGGAGAGGGCAAGGGAAGTTGTGGAATCGCTGGGGTAAGGTCAGTTCCGGGCCGCTCCACATGCTTCCATGGGAGAGCTCACCGGACGGTGGGTACGATGAATAGGTTGTGCGGCTCGGGGTGCGAGAGCAACAAGTCGCGCGTCATGCGGCGGAGCAAGAGGGCCTGCTGGATGTCCTTCTGCCCGAAGTAAGTGCGCGTCGGCTGCACTCGATGAGTTGTCATTGATCGCAAATCTTTCCGCCTGCGAAACGTCGCGTACCTCAATCGCGTTGAAGAGCTTCGTGACGACTGTGGCAACCCCGCGGAAGAACGTGGGGCGGGTCCTGCCCTCCATCTGGTGCCCGTACCCCTTGACCTCGACGAACGTGCCCTTTTGCTCTTCGGTGTTCTGCGAGATGCCGCCCGGGTACATCTCGCGCACTGCCGGCACAAACACCGCGGAGGGAACGCGCGTGCCGCCGTGCGCGGCGACGGCGAGCGCGGAAAGGAGCTCAAGGTCCCGGCGCAGCGTGCGCGGGTACGTCGCCAAATCCTCGTTTGGCGCAAATTGTGCGGGGTTCACGAAGATGGAGAGGACGGTGAGGTCGTTCTCCGCGAGCGATCGCTTCACTGTATGGGCACGGTCAGGGATGTTCATACGTATCCCCTCGACACGCACCCAAAGACAAGTGCCCTTCATGCAACGCGCCCATCGTGGCTACGTATCCGACCGACTTTTCCTCGGCGTAGGCCTTCCGCCTCCATTCGCGGTACGAGGCGACCGTGTCGAAGAGTGGTATTGAGGAGGGTGGTAAGGACGAGGACATGTTTCTCCCGGCGTCAATCCTCGACAAAAGTCGGGTTCTAAACAAACTGTACGATCGCAGTCGGAAGCAAGAGCTGAGCATCGACGCCTCTACCAACGCGAAGGAGGCCGACGTGCGAGTCTGAGCAAAGTGTGGCAAAAAAGAGCAGCAGCAGAGCGTCCGATCGTGCCATGGTCGGAGAGAGCAGAGCCGTCAGATCCGAATCCGGTCCGCACGCCCTCCTCTAAGACGCGTCACACGTGATACTAGCACGCGTCGCGTTCGCACCTGCGTTCACAGCGTCCGTACTTCTGCTTCCTGGGTGGCTGTGTGTCTTCCTCAAAGACAGGAAGCTTAACTATGCGCGTCTCCCGGAGCACATGGTTTTACATGACACAGCACTCGAGTCTAACCCCACCTCTGATCCCACTGCCCCACGCTTTCTGCGAGAGCCCACCACGATCCGCCGTCCGCCGGGTCCTTGGCGTAAACGAGAGACCATGTGTCTTCCGCATCGCGCCGCGGGACGCGTACAGGCGGGACCTTGCTAGATTCAGTCGGTAGGTATGACACGGGGGACGAGCCAATGCATTGGGCCGTCACTGCAACGAACCCGGCTGCCGGCGCATTGGGTGACCTGTGACACGCGTAAATGGGGACAGTGTTTAGGAGTGCAAGTGGGAAGACTCACGTAATCGTTTGCAGAACAGTTCGGACGAAGGAAGCAGGGATGAACCCGTTCCACCGCATCGTGGTGATATTCCCTCCGTGTGACGGCTCTGGAGGAGTGTACACTGCTATGTACGGGTCACAGTGATCATTTACAGACAGTCTAAGAGTGCAGCTGTTAGTCGAGATAGGGACAACGCCGTGGTTAGCATACCGAGGAGATGCGAGGGACGCCATCGCCACCCATTCGAACAAAGCCGCCACGGCGTCCTCCCATTCTCCGTTGTCGTCGCCGGAAGGGTGTTTCCGTGAGACGATTGCCTCACGAGAAGGATCAGGGATGTACAGGTTTCCTGAATTTCGTACGCGTCTGGATAGTTCGTGACGGACGCTGCCCGCAAGCACGGAGTCGTCTGCCACATGCATGCGTCAGTGCGCAGGTTGTTGTAGCGTAACAACTGTACCCGTACCCTCGCAGTGATAAAAAACTTTCCAAGGCTGCCTTCTCGAGTCCCATCTGCGGATGGCGTGTGCTTCTTTGGTCCCAAACGCGTGCCATGCTCGCATGCAATCAGTGGAAGGA